TTAATTACATTTTATATGTCAAAAGCAGAATTACTGTAAATAATATTTTGGCAATGCTATTGTCTTTGCAACATTGCAAACAGATTTTGATGAAGAAACCATTTTGGACGCAGGTCATTATATCAGGTAACTTCTTTGAGATCTGAACAATTTTTTTCTAGTTGTGTTTTTGAATTCAGAAAGATTATTAATTGAGTCAAAAAATTTAACACGTTTTTCGCGCCAAATACAAAGCTGATACATTGAAATTGATGTGTGAATAAGTTAAACTTGACGTTTTAAACTATCTTTTCACGGATTATGATAGTTACAGGTACCATAGCTGGAATGGGTGATATCATTGGGCAGGTCGTGCTTGAGAAACGACGTACCATTAAGACTTATGATTTTATACGCAGTGCTCGGTTTGTAAGTACAACCACGTGTTTGGTGGTCAGAATTTATTTAATAAAATGAATTATCAATTCAAAAATATCACTTCGAAAATTTTCCAAATCTTACTGACTAAGAAGTTAAAAAAACAATTATTTTCTGTGCATACCAACAAAATTTTATTAAAAACCAAAAATAAGACAAACTTTTATATTTTTCAAACATAAACTTTACAAACTGAATTGATCATCTCATTATACCCTTACGATATAAATATATAATTTTGGAGGCTCCAGTTCTGTATCATTGGTTTCATTTTTTGGAACAACTATCAGGTCAACCAAAATTTCGACCCTTGAAACGTATGCTAATTGACCAGGTTAATATTTTCAAATTATTAATATGGCTATTTTAAAGTTGAACCTAATCAGGAAACTTTTTTCTTCAGTCAAAACAACTGCTAATATTTCAGATCATAATGGCACCTTTGCTCACATTTACTTTCATAACGACTATTCACTTGTTAGAGGGGAGAAAGCCAGGCAAAGCAGTTGAAATTTCTCGTCAGCAAATTGGTCCAATACTTATTAATAATTATAAAGTAAATATTCTCTTCACATTTTGCAGCATTAACCAAACTATAGTAAGGACTTACAGTGTGATTTAAATCTTCAAACATTTCAAGGTTTTACAAAAATTGCTGTTTTTTACTTTTTGGTATAGTGGGCAACTGACAAATTTCTTCAATTTATATTGTTTTGAAAGTTACATATTGTTAGTAACCAAACAGAAATTGACCCTTCAAGATTTTCAAGAAAAAATCATCAAGTATGACATATTTTAAAATCTGATATATTTGCATATAAATGAAAGTCTTCTTGAGCACATACGTAATCTGCAAGAAATGAAAATTTTTTCTAACTACCATTACTTATCCTTCAAAAGATTTTTTCTTGCTTTTAAATGTTATAAACAAATACTTTTACTTCACGTAATCAGTACTGCTCATTTATTTCAGATTTGGCCCTTGGTTCAGATACTGAATTTTTATTTAATTCCATTACAATATCGTGTCATAATGGTGCAACTAATCGGAGTGTTCTGGAATGCATATATTTCATACACTGTACAGGGATCTGTACCTAATTCAGCTCTTAATATTGAATAAATACCTGTGATTACGTACAATGACCACTTCTGCTTTTTCCATTGAACTCCATATTTGCCTAATACTTTCAGCAATTATTCATTTATAGAAATATTGCAGCCCAATAAATGTTTTTTAATTGCCATATTGTGACAAAATCATATTTTGCTCAATTTAACCGTATTTTCTGCTTGTTAATGTGTTCAACATGTCATTTTATTTAGATGTTCCATTACTTAATAAAAAATTATCATTAATGAGTGCTTAAAGGAAAATAATTGACTTAATCGGAAATCATTATTAATTTATTTAACAAAAAAGTACTTCTATCAAAGGTAGGTTTTGCTATATTTCTTTCATAGTTAAAATCCGAATCTTAATATATTAAAGTGAAAAAAACAATATATTAGTAATTCGCAAGAACTAGGATCTTCACCATTTATTTCTAAGTTTGCATTTTCTTTTCGAATAAATTTTTAATAATATTTTGGGATAGTTACAGATGAATTCATGAAAAGAGCTACTCTGTTACGGATTATTGCTTTTACGTCATTCAGGCGTTTCGTGCGACAATGCAATCCATGAACATTTATGTGGGATTCCACAGACACAATCCAGTTCAAGTTAGTAAGATAACATTAATCTTCACATCCAGAGAAGCGATATTTTATAGTGATCCATTAAAAAAATATAGTTTACTTCACAAGTATTAAATTCATTTCCACAACCTACTAATCCATAGAAATAAAATTTACCAAACAATATCAAATAGTTATTAAGGTAAGTCACACGTCAAACACGCATACGGTTTCTTGATAATTTTAAGAATTTGTATCTATTTGCTGCAATCTATTTTCGTCAAACTACTGAAGAGAGCAAGCACTCGTCTGTAGTGAACAAAATCAAACCTCTAATGAAAAGAAAACATTAAAGTTGAATGAATCGACTGTATAATATGGTGTCAATTCCCGTCACGTGTGAACACAATCTGCAATAACGTTAAAGTTAGCTTTCAATGGAAGTATGGAGTCGACTCACTTCACTAAAGAATGCGCGTCATGTTAATAAAATACATAATTATGACAAAAAATAGCAGTACCATATCATAAACGCATAGCAATTACTAGCAACAACCTGAAAATATTTGTGCAAATATCACAAATAAATTCATTTCGAGAAATGCTCACAAGTTATAATTATTTCCCACAATACAATGTCATTTCCTCAACTGTTCAGACACTTGCACAAATTCAATTTTTGTAAACTTAATTTTTTTAGACTGCTTATTTCTAGAACTGTTTGACTACTTCATGTACAATCTGAGAAATCCAACCCCAAACATATTAACAAAATGTATTATGACAGTAAGACATATCATGACAGTACTGTTAAGCTCATTAAATCAAAACCCCGAAATGGGCATACAGTAACATTATTAAAAGAACAGATGCACTTTCATTTTCTTCTTGTCGAGAATTATTTTTTTCCCTTCTTGCATTTTCTCTATTTTCTTTTTTTCTTTTTTTCTCTTCTAAACCTGTAATAACATGATCATTGTTAAGCTTACAATTTAAAATTCTATTTAATCCTTTCAAAACGTTGAAGTAAATTTCTGTTTAAATGTATCTTTGCTGAAATTGATGTTCTGCATGTAATTGTGGTTTTGGTTTATGTTTTACGCGTAAGGATAATTTTGGCGTTCTACTTTCATATTCATTTTGTTTGAAACAGAAATCAAGTCAAATGCAAGATATGGTTGCTAGAAGTTTGGATGGCAAATATACTAATTTACGGCGGTGTCGAAGTCTACCTCACATTAATATGACACGACGTGATGGGCAGTACAGGTTGTGCAGTTATTCACTTA